TAAGATTTGCATTCGTTACTTCCTTACCGTATCAAAAAGTAAATCGTAAATCTATGTCGTTTACACTAATCAATGTGCGTTTAATGTTAATCTACTAAGTACTATTAAGATTGAGTTCCAGTACATGGAAATATAACCATTAAGTCAAAAAAATTTCAAGGTGTTAGCTTTGCTATTTTGTTTGCTATTCACCACATACTTTTAAATGAACTGTCCTTCGAAATCCAATAAGTCTTAATCTTTCTTTAAGATTTAAGCATGATAGATTAAACAAAAAGATGTGTTCTTAAAGGAAGAAGTGCTTTTTTTTCAATTGCATATTTTTGCAGCTAATCTTAAACTCTACCATAAGTTATCCGTTCTTTTACATAAAAAAGTTTGCTATAGGTTGAATACCTAATGTGTCCAGATGGTTGAAGTGATAGAAAGTAACAAATTGCTTGTCCCGAGGCTCCAAGGTTCGAACCCCGAAACATAGTCAATATTTAAAAATAATATTTAAAAGAATTTTTTTATTACTTATTTTACAAAAAAAAATAACGTAAATAAAATATTCCTTTACTTAAACTTATTATTTTTTACTTTTATAAGTGCGTAATATAAAGAAAATGTTAAAGCAATAAACTGTCACTCATATACTGTATATATATAAATGGCCCCATACCTTCCCTTAATATTAACCTAAAATTTTCAAACTAGGCCAGATATTGTATTATAACAAACAATACTATCGTTTCAAAGGAAATAATTATACTACTAAGAAACTTATTTAAGAATCTAAGTCGAACAAAAAGTATTTGAAAATCAAAGTCGAAATAAAAAGTTTTTTATTGTTAACAGTGTGGATTTCCTTACTTTCAATTTTCTCGTATTCTTGCAACTTCGCAAGTTGATTAATACATGATGTGTTCCCGCTTTTTTTCAAAGCTTACAAGTTACTTGCATCAATTGTTTTCCTTAGTTATCTCCAGGCGAAATTTCAAAGTAGGCTTATTTCGAATTGTTGTATTAATAGTACAGTTTTTCTAATAAAAGTCGCAGAAATTATTTTAAATCGCAGACGTCAAGTTCTTACTTTTGAGATCTCATTAAATGAATTAAATACGAAGTTCAGTTATGCAAAAAATGCACTTGAAACAGAGTTATAAGCGTTGAAAACTAGCTCTAATTCTCCATTTCCTATACTACAAAACTTTTTTGGATTGTCAGATGCTTTCCTCGAGGAAATAATATTAAAGCCTATCGATGCGCAACCGTCTCTAAACTTTAATCCTGTTCTTCAATGAGTCCGGTAAGTCTGGATAAATTTGATTTCGGCACCACTTGAATTCAAGGAAAATGTTTTTTATCCGTATCCATAGTATCCGTAGAGAATAACATATCATGGAATGGTAACTAATTATTAAGCTAAGTAAGAATAAGCAGTAGGAGGTTTTACAATGTATGTCTTGGCCACACAAAATTAATACACCTTTCACTTAACGTACCTATTTGCACCAGAACCTTAAAGCACATCTTGAACCAGTGTTCCAATTTTAAAATGAAGAGAAAACGATATTTTAGCAGTGAATATACTGAATTATCGACTTTAATTGAAGACAATCCAGATAAAAAACATTATTGAATATCTTAAAGACACTGCATTCTTCGAAAACTTTTAAACATGTTTTTACTTTTGACCAGATGTTAAACGAGGTATTACCTTCTTTGGCACAAAAAAATAACTATCTAGCTAACAATATATGTCTCTTTATTCAATAATTTTCCTTCTCTTAAAATATTATATTTGAATTATCAAATTTAGAAAAAGGAAAAGAAAATGGCCTTTTCTGAGGAAAAAATGCAATGACTAGATGTCAGAAAATTTTATTTCAAAAATTAATTGTTTAAAAGCATTCATCTTCACTCAGTGATTAACTAAGGAAAAAAAATTATGATTTAAAAATTTTAATTTTTTATTTAAAACAATAGCCTGCCACTTATGCAACAGCACATATTTTTTCTTAGTTGCTAGCGATATTAAAGTTATATCGGGTCTAAAGTTTTTCCCCTTTTAAATAACAGGTAAGAGTACGCGTCATTAGTCTTCTAAAATGATTAACTCTTTGCTTAAACTACTTGCTTTTGCCCTATACTATTTGTAATTACAAAATAATGATGATTGTAAATGAAAAAAAGTAAGCAGTATTATATTTGTGAGTGCGTGCAATTAATCTCGTAAGTTTGAAAATTTTTCCAATCATATATATTTTTGTGCCATGAATACTTTTTAATATTTATTAGGCTTTGTAGGAAATACATTTAAATATGAATGAATCCATTAAACTGTTAAAAAGTGCAATAGATCCTATTCACGTCTCTTTGCCTTAATTGAATGTAGAATCCAAGAAACCTACGGAGGATGAATCCACGGAAAATAATATATCAAATAATCCACATAATATTTGTGCTTTTATTAGATTCTGGGAAATCTAAAGACAAGAAATCGAATAAAGCCTATACAAGAAAATCTAAAAGCCTTACGCACATTTATCAACTACAGAACCTGACATGTCTTCAAGCAACGAAAAATAATGTGCAAATAAATTCCGTGCCTTTATTAAATTTGAATTCCGAACAATCTTCAGATGAAGAACAAAATGAAAACTGCAAACTTTTATGCCTGCAAATTGCCGTTTATGATACTTTTAGATTGAACATAGCAAAGTTTGAATCATTTTGAGATAAATGTGACCCAGTATTTGCCTCTAAATATTATTTATTTGCTTAATTCTCAACTGTAAGAGAGCTGCAATGCTAAACATTTTATATCAAAATTCTAGTCTGACAGCGTAACAGTTCACATTGTGAACGGGTGACAATTTTAGTTCAATGAAAAAAAAAATAATGTTAAGTAATATTTTCAAAACAATGAAATTTCCAGATTTAAGCTCATACAGTTTTAAAATCATGTACTGCTTAGATTGGTGGTTATACTAGGTTCTCCAATTATAATTTGCTCTAGTTATTTTTACTTGGCATTTACTTCAGGAAATTCAGATTTTTGGTAATGGGTTTTAGTTACCAAAAAATATACAGCATGTTTCTGCTCAACTGCATCTATATATTATGTTTAGAGTACTAGTAGTTTTGTTATGTTTGGGGAATCAGTAAATAAAGATAATCCAATATTTTAATGAATACAGATAATTAGTCTATTATAGAAACTGTTAATTGTGAATATATTGGGTTAAAATCCCCTTCCAGTCTTGCTAACTGCAGTATGTTTTCGTGGTTTTTCTCTCCATGTACCGTAAATGCTGCTTAGTTCCATCTAAAAGTCTTCCACGAAGGCTAGTTTCGCCCAATACTTGATCCCGTGTCTTCGTAGTCGGGTACAAAATTATAAGTCTGCGGAGTTGATTGTCGTAAACTCCAAATTGGGACGGCTGTTCAAAATAAATAGTCAAAAATATCCAAAGTCATTGATAAGAAAATGTGTCAATTTAAAAAAAGTATCTTTTTGTATATTGTAAGTTATTTGTTAGTATAGGTCAAAATTAAGAAATGTTGCTACTGGCCATTTTTAACAACGGTTACTTCTTAATAACACTTTTTAAAAATTTTAAGCAATTTAAAAAATACCGTCGATATTACTAATGTAATGTGATGTGCCTAAATCACTAAAGTGCATTTTTATACAATAGTCTTTTTTGGTAGGTTGGTACTTAATTTACGTCGAGCTTCACAATGGATTATTGGCGTCTGGGAAGCATCCCTGAGCTATGCTGATTTTGATACTCTGCAGAGGGGATGGCTCCCCTGCTTTGATAGGCCGACGACTTGCGCGCGAAGTTGAGCACTTTACTGTAGAACAGTTTAACGAGCACCCTCGGTCCCTACGCAGGCTGATCAAAGTGGTCACCCACCCGCTTACCGGCCACAGCCAGTGATGCTTGACTTCGGCGTTCTACTGGGAACCGGGTCTTTACGATCAGTCCACTACGGGAGTCTTTTTTGAAAAGGTTTTTAAAGCCAACAGTTGTTTTTTAGACGCTTTTAACAGTTCTTATAAATTAATGATAGTGATATTGATTTGACTTTATACGAATTTAGTTTCATAAAAACCACCTACTTGTTTAGTGTGCTGAATTCGAAGAAATCACTTAAAAAGTTTCAACTGTAAAATACCTAGCCATCCTGACTGAGAGTTTGTCCGCAATAATTTAGCTTAATGCTTAAAAAAGTATAAGTGTGGAACTACTCGTTTTTTTTTTTTTTTTTTTGTCCATTTTCTTAAACACGTTTTTTTTAACTGTGTCCCAAATGATAAGCTCACATACGTAATGCTATTAGTAAAAAATGGCATTTTTTGACACGAAACACCAAAACCATAATTTCAAATTAAGATTGATAATGACTTTTCGCTTCAATAAAACTATCTGAGCCTTAAAGCACAAAATTAAAAAAAAAAGCAAAATATTGTTTCAAGAATTATTTAAAATGTATGTTAACATTTTTACAACGTATAAGAGGCTCGCATTTTGTAATAATGGATTTTATTTTTATTTAGCATTAAAATAGTATTTAAATTTAAATCAAGTTGGGGAAAAAACTTACTTTAAAACTGTTGTAATTTGGTAAACAGTTTGATCCAAATGCACTACATAAGTTTCTAAAACACTTTAAAAAAAGATTTTTAATAAAGAGAAAGAAACAAATCTAGATGAAAGTTTGGAATTTTTAAGGTTCCTCTTCCAAAAAAATTGTCACTACAACACTATACAAAATCAGTTGAAAGAATGCATTTCTTTTTTTTAAATTTCACAAGTTTGTCCTGAATTTACTATCTCAAAAGTTTTGTAAAAAGTATTTTTTGTCCTCCAGATTTCGCTGTTATAAACGGACACACATAATTTGTGATTTGGCGCAGCTGTACCTTGAGATTTGGCATTTTTCGAACTTAATCTGGTAACCCTTTAATTGCTTTCATACTTTACAAAATAGTATTCGTTCAGTTCGAATTTTGAAAACTGTGTGTTATACCTAGCGAATTTCAAGCGACTTATTTAAAATACTTGAGATATATTGGATTATTACATATCATTTATATTTAATTGATATAGTGAGTACATTTAATCTTTAATTTGAGTTTTTTTAAAAAAAACATTTTAGTATTTAATAAATTTGATAAAATGTTTTTCACTTTTCATAAAAATATTTCCATATATACCTAAAATTTTATTTCAAAATATTGTGTCTGATTTTATTTTAAAATGTTGTGACTGTTGTGCTGTGACAGCGATAAATATATCACAGACGTGAAGCATATAAAATACATTAAAACCTCGATCATTCCAATTTTGCAATAACTGACTTTGATTTGTATATTGCTAAATGATTTCCTCCCTTTCTTTTTACCCACAATTGGATATTTTTTTTCTAGATTTCAATAATATATTTTCTTAATTCACCTAATTATCTATAAGGCTGTAAACTATACGAAATTGGAATTACTCTTTTTTTTTATTTCATGTTTATACAGAATTGATTATTTTAAGGGTGAGCAAATAAAACGAAAAGTTATATTAATTGTTGAACTCTGATTGATATCAGTAAGTGATTATACTATTATGTACAAAAATGCCGGATAAATTTGATACGTAGCTTAATAACTTAGCTATCCGAGTAAATTATCACTTATCAAGCAAATTAAAATTCAATGTGAAAAGTTAAAAGCACATTTTTGAACTTTGTCCATGCAGAATAAACCTAACTTTATCGGAAAAATATATATTTCCCAATACATAAAAAAATGTCTATTTCACGTTTCACTGAGCCAGTGATTCCCAAAAGGAAACACAGTGGGAAAAATTTATAGTGTTTCAGTAAAAACAGGATATCAAATACAAATCGGGATATCAGATAAAAATAGGACACTTAATTCGAAATGACCAATTAAATTTTACAAAGAAATTTCAGTGTTGTATTGCTCTTAAATAGTATCAAAATTTTATGTAACGTTATATTTAAGTAACGATTATATATATATATATATA